TGATGATCTAAATTTTTTTTTTGTATCATCGACACTTATAAATTTACAGGTGATCATGTATTGTGTTATATTATATTCCTGGAAAATTTAAGGGGTAGTTATATAATAATTTTAAATGATCTCGAGTGGTCGGATACTTATGACCGCTACTATAGAAAAGCTGTCTTTACTATTGATTTTTCCTGAGATTTAGCCTAAATCAGATGGAATTTTAAATTTATTTATCCTTTTCTGAACTACTCTTAAAATATATGATATTAGTATGCCCTCTTTGATCCAAATTCTTCTTACAATTCACTTTGTAATCCTCAAAAATAAACAGTGCATAAGATCAACTGTAGTAAATTGAATTAGGTTAAAGTATAATAAACATAATAATTCAGATCATCTAACACTAGTAAGCTTTATAAATCATTCTCTTACTGCATTTAAATTACAGTGTCTTCACCCTAAAATATCTTGATGATGTTAAGCTGAATCTCAAGAAATAAACTATTTATATTATTTATTCCTACAAAATTATGTTAATAATTTTCATAATTTGTTACTTTTTTGTATTTATAACATTATACTAAGGCAAAAATATGATTACAAATTTTTCTTGCAGTTAGCATATCATATAAAATGAGTATTAGAGCTATGCAGATTCTTTTTTCTTCTTAATATTTATATGTTTGATTTAATTTCACTTAATCCTATAGATGAGGAATGAAATCCTTTAATAACAGTCAAAACTTATACGAAACTATATTAAAATCATATTAAGGGATATAATAAAATCCATTCAATACAATGAAAGCCAAAATTGTTAAAACTATATTAAAAGAATAGAAAAGGATATGACAAAATTATTTTGAGGAGATTTTGGCAAACATCTATACTTTATTCCAAATTGACTTCAACTCATTGACAATTAGCTTCAGATAGTAATTTATTTTATGTAATTTTACTTTATCTAAGTCAGGTAATAAGCCAAGAACCAAATATATTTTCACGTTTAAACTGAATGTCTTGCGATAAATTACAAATAGCTACGTATAATACTCCAGTGCTATATTTTATATCATCGAATGATTAGAACTAATCCAAATTCAAAATCATTTTGAAATACAAATCAGTAACATCAAGTCAGAAAAAATTATCTAAATTTTCGTCCATTGATTTTTTGAAAGTTTTTCAAACTTTATCATCATAGATATCAGTCAATATATTACCAAAAGTTGGCTAATTTATTTAATGTCTTAATGAACTTTCAAAATCAGGTTGATGATACATTGCTTTCAATTGTTATTTAATACTAGTAACTGGAAATATCAATTCAAGTTCAAATGAAATGTTATTTAATAATATTATTTTCAATAATAAAGGTGTTTAACACAATTTTAATCTTTGAGTTGTCGAATTAGAAAATGCAATATAGCTACACTTTATAATAGCAAGTTATTTATTTTGACAAATTCTTTTACTTTCTATTTATTATGTAATTTGTAGGATTTCAGACGTATTATAAAACTATGAAATCAATCTTTAAGATCAAAGACTTTTCTTGCAAGGTATAAAGTATTGGAAAATGTATCAAAATTAAAGTTACCAATTTTTGTTAAAACAAGTTTTAAGAATTATATCATTAATTTTGTAGCTATTTCTAATATGTTAAACTTCATTCAAAACTCATAATTTATAATAATATCTATAATAATCAATTTTTATTTATTATATTTGAATCGTAAATGGCTCAAAAAATGGATATGAATAATCCTTAAAATTTTTGTGATATTCATCATTATTAGGTGATTCATACCTATAATTAGAAGTTTTATCAGCTGATGTATTTTCCGATTCAGTAATAATAGCCAGTCAATTTACATATCTTCTAAATTGTTGTTATTGTCAAGATAAAAAGATAAATTCAACTTTGTTTTAGTTAGCCTTATCTTCTGATTTATCTTTAGATTAGTCATTATTAGGTAATTCAACTTCTAATTGTAGTTCAGCTAATGTTTTATCAGGTAAATGTACCTTTGTTCTGTCTGAATCATCAGAATTTTGATTAATTTTGTGAATAACTTTGTACGAAGATTCACAAATTGCCTATTACATCTAGAATAATTACATATAACCAATATTTCGCTACATAATAGTGTAATTAAAGATTCTTCATTAAGTATACTAGATCTTAATTGATTTTTTTATATACGTGATAAAGATATAGCATAAGATCTAATTAATTCTAATTCTTCATTAAGTATACTTAATAATGATCTTTTTCTCGTTATTTTTAAATGATTTCAAAATAAAGTCTACAGTAGTGGTCATAAGTATCTAACCACCTGAGATTATCTAAAATTATTATATAACTACCCTTTAAATTTTCCAAAAATATAATGTAACATAATACATGATCACCTGTAAATTTATAAGTGTCAATGATACAAAAAAAAAATTTAGATGATC